GAAGTTTTTCAGAAAAGCATTCTTAGTGTCTTTCCAAGTTGTCAGTGAAGCAAGTTCCAGTTGCTTCAGCCAATATGCAGCCTCTCCTCCAAGAGAGTAAGAGAAAAGCTTGCAAAACAGGAAGTCATTGCTAACACCATTAGCTTTGACACTTGAAGCTAGATCCTTAAACCTCTCAATGTGATCCATAGGATGCTCATGAGGTAAGCCATGGAAAGGATGCTGTCCCACCAACTGATATTAAACTGGCTTGAGCTCAAAACCATTCCTCTGGAAGGTAGGAGGGCGGATTGCAACTCTGTTGGCATAAAACTGATCAGGTATGTTGTAATCACCTAGAGTCCTCTGAACAAAATGCCCAGCAGCGTTGTTAGCAGCAACAGGGACTCCAGCGTCTTGTGCCACTTCTTGAATCTGTTGTTCAACAATGACATTCCTATCTTGATCAATTCTCTGCCCATCTTCATTCCTCATGTTTCCCTCTCTGTCAACCAAGTGACCTTCTACATCTTCAACCAAGATAAGTGGAGCGACCACTGTAGATTGCTTCTTAGCATTCCTGATAGTCCTTTCCAACTTAGCTAGCTCGTCAATGCCTAAGGTCAAAAGCTCCTTCTCTTTGTTTCTTCTGGTACAGCGATTAGGCATACACCTGAAACCAGCACAAAGAAAAGTAGCAGAAAGTTATTAAACAAATTAAAACTTAGACAAATCCTAATACTAAAAATCGATAGGAAGCTATTACTCCCCGGAAAGGGCGCCAAAAACTTGATAGGGCTCAGGTTTTACCCAAATAAAACTACTGCAAGTGCACAACAAAAGCAGTTGTAGTACAAGGGGTATCGAATCCCAACGGAGTATGTAAACTACACTATCGAATGTAGGTTCAGATTAAGCTAAGCAGTAAGCGATGTATGTAATGCGAATGACAAATTAAATGTAAGCAAACAAAATTTGGTTGTTGATCTAAGTTTCAGAAGACTAAAAACGCTAAGTCAGGACAGTTCGCAGGTTGAATCCGAGAATGTAGAATGCATGAAATCAGGAATGATTAAGAACCGTCTTGAACAAGAATTACAAATATATAACTAATCATTTCTCATTGCAGAAGTTATCTATGTCTAAATCACAGAGTTTCAAATCTCTTTGCAAACCCTAACAATCTAAACATGCAGTAATAATCAGGTTCAATTGTTCACAAAACTCCTAAACCAAATCTCTTTGCACCAAGTCGTTTTGTTCATCAAATACTAGTTCAGGCTATCAATAATGCTCTCACATATATTTAACAACCTATGATTTTCGGATTTCTAGATGATGTGTCTAAGAAATCGATTTTCAAGCAAACAGAGATGAAGAACTAAAAGATATTCCTAACATATAGCAATCCTACAAATTCTTCATTAACCTTTGAAAAATTCCTAATTTAACTAACAAATTACTCAGACATGATCATGGAATCACAAAACATAACTGAATAAATTTTCATTAAGAGAATAGAATAAAAACAAAAGGGGTTCGAAATCTTCTCCAAAAAGAGTACATGATATGTCTCCCCAAAAGCTCTGAATAAAATCCTCTCTCTACTCTCTGAATTCTCAAAAACTAAGATCAAAACAAACAATGGCTTAAAAACCTATTAAATAGAAGCTAAACACGATCTGAGGCTTTTTTGCAAATACTAGAACTTCTGGACCAATTCTGCAAATAATCTTCATACTTTTAACAAATCAACCATGCTCCTTCCTTGGTGGGTGACGAGCGTCACCATAAGTGGTGACGAGCGTCACCCAAATGGATACTTTTCTTCTCCGAGCTGGACACTTCATGGCTTCAACTTGCAATGCTCCAAAAAGCTTCAATATCCCCAATTATGCTTCAAACATGCTATAACCTGCAAAGACTCTACTAGGACTCTAAAAAGACCAAAAAGACTCAATAAAAAGGATTTATATCATGGTTAAAAACCATAAAAACCATGATATATCAGTTTAGCATCCAGTTCCGCATATTTATACAGCATGGCTAATTCTTTGATTAAGCAGTTGCAATTGATTGCAAAACCGTTAATTTCAGAAAAAAGCTTCGAATCACTGGGTGGGGACATGCAATATTGCATGATGGGGAATTGGTCCAAGTAAGACCAAGTGCATATGATTAATATTCCCCTATACAATTATCATTTGGCTAGAAGTCAGATGTATCCCATCTTTGTATGTTTGGGTGTGCGGTCTATGTCCCTATAGCACCACCGCAAAGAACAAAAATGAGACCATAAAGAATATTGTGATATATATCGGATATTCGTCACCAAGTATAATTAAATATCTTGAACCGGCAACTGGTGACATGTTCAAAGACGGTTTGCCAATTGCCACTTTGATGAAAGTGAATTCCCTGTGTTAGGGCGAAGATTAAGAGAATCACCAAATGATATCACCTGGTGTACCCACTCTTTCGCTTATCTTGATCCTCCTACAAACCAACGCGGGGTGGAAGTTCAAATAATTATACATATGCAATGTTTTGGCAAACCAGTTACCCGATGCGTTCACTGGTACAAGAAGGGTTACGAAGTCTCATATCCCTGCAACTAATGCTACATCAAGGGTAAATGTTCCTGAAGAACATACTGATGTAAGTAGAGAAAATTAACCGAGGATTAAAATGAAGCGCGGGAGGCCAATGGGATCAAAAGATAGAAATCCCTGGCAAATAAAGAAATTCGAAGCAAGGGTTCTAGAAGAACCAAATAAAGACAAATGTCCTGAAAACATTTGTGAAAAGGTTCCTGAAGAACCAAATGAGGATATATGTCCTGAAAACATATCTGAACCGGTTCTTGAAGAACCAAATAAAGTGATTTCTCCCGAAGTGGAATCTGGAGCAGAAAAATATGAGATTTCCATCTCCTTCATCTATAAGTGGATTGGGTTAGAAGTGAAATAGAAGATAATGATGGAATGTTCTCTTTTTCTGTTTCCAAAGAGATCGATCATGAAAATGATGATCAAGATCCAAGTTCCATATCAGAGTGCCAAAGAAGGCTTCAGTGGGATATATGGCAAGTGGCCATGAGGGATGAAATATTCTCTCTTAATAAATGGAACGTATTCGGACCAATAATTATTACACCTAAAGATGTAATGTCGGTCGAATAAAATGGGTCTTTGTAAGAAAGAGAAACGAGAAAAGTGAGGTCACAAGGTATAAAGCTTGCCTTGTAGCACAAGGATTTTCTCAAAGACTCGGAATATATTATAAAGAAACATATTCCACAGTCATGGATGTAATCACATTCAGGTACTAAATGAGCCTAACAGCCTCTAAGAATTTAGAGATGTACCTGATGGATGTTGTGACTGCATACATATATGGTTCACTTAATAATGACATATACATGAAAATCCCTGAAGAATTTAAGATCCATGAAGGATCAAAGATGCCTAAAGCATCTAAAGAGCTATGTTCAGTTAAACTACAATGTTCACTTTATAGATTAAAGCAATCCGGATGCATGTGGTATAATCGCTTAAGTGAATATTTGTTGAGTAAAGGTTACGTCAACAATGTGATAAGCCCTTGTGTGTTTATTTAAAAATCTGCATCAGGATTTGTGATCATTGTTGTATATCTTGATGACCTGAACATGATTGAAACTCAAAAAGAGATTGATGATGCTAAAGCTCATATAAAAGACGAGTTCGAAATGAAAGATCTTGGAAAGACAAGTTTTTTCTAGGGCTCTAGATAGAGAATTTCCAAGATGGAATATTTGTGCATTAATCAAATTACACCAGAAGGGCGTTGAAACGCATTAGTATCAATAAAGCAACTCCTTTAAGTACCCCAATTGTTAATAGACCACTTGATGTTGACAGGATCCATTCGGCCTTGTGAATGTACGAAGAAATATTAGGTCCTGATGTGCCTTATATGAGTGCTATCGGTGCCTTTATGTATCTTGCAAACTGTACTACACCATATATAGCTTCTGCTATTAACTTACTTGCAAGGTATAGTTTATCACCGACACGCCGACATTAGATTGGAATAAAGCATATATTCTGTTATCTTTAAGGTTCGATTAAATTTAGATTATATTATTCTAGAAACCCTGAGGTTAGTCTATTTAGTTTTGCAGATGCAGGATATCTGTCTGATCCGCCTAAAGCTCGATCGCAAACTGGATATCTTTTCACATTTTGTGGAACTGCGATCACAAAAGCAAACTTTGGTCGCGACTTCTTCAAATTATGCAGAGAATGTGTATGGCTCAGATCGATAGCTCATCACATACAAGAAGCAAGCAGAATAATCACATACAAAGAACTAACAAAAGTGTTTGAAAATTATGGTGCTTGTGTCGCTCAAATTATAGAAGGTTATATCAAGAGCGATAGAACGAAGCATATCCCTCTTTTTCTCATGTACTTAAGAGCTCAAGAAAAATAAAAAAGAGAATATTCAGCATGTTCGTTATAAAACAGCTGATCTCTTCACAAAAGCGTTCCCTACTACAATATTTAAGAAACATGTTCATACTATTAGAATGCGGCATCTACGAGATTTATGAAAAAAAATAAGATCTATCTTTTCTAGGAGAAATTTGCTGTTGCTATACTTTTTTTCCTTTTGTCATAGTTTTGTTCTATTAATTTTTTTATGAAAAGATTTTTAACAAAGCAATACACAATTTCACGGTGATAGATACTCAGGTAACATCTTTGAAATCTATAAAAGAAATATTAAATTTATCATTTCGAAAGAAACATTACTACACTCTTTTTCTGACATGATTTATTTCTCAAACAAATTTTTTCATAATAAAACTTTTAACAAAATAGTGCATATTATTTTTTTACTAATGAATATTCGAGAAATGTTATAAAATAATAGTTTATAGTTATCTATTTTTTATTATTAAATTTGGAATAGTTTACTATACTTCACTATATGTTTTTCTATAAATAAATGACTTTATTTTTATAAAATGAAAATTCAGAAAAAAAAAATGAAAATTTTATGTTTATCTTTATATTTTTAAACTCTTCTTTGCTTTTTCCATAAAGAGTATTAGTTCACAACATAAAAGACATACATAAAATAAATGGAACATAAATATTCAAACTGTGTCTGAGCTACATATGAGTCGTTGATAAATATCTCCATAATGAAACCTTCACTTGATGGTGAAGTGGTGAGATTTTCATTGGATTATGCTACAATTCATCTGCATCGTCGTCCTCCTCATCCTCTGAGTCTGTTTCACTGAATTCAGAAAGCAAAATATTGAGCCGTATCAGATTTCTAGCAAATGAATTATAGAACAAAATAATCGAAGATGAGATTGCGAAACTATTGTTATCCTCATTGATGAATGAAGAAGAATACATGGTTTATACTTTATATATCAAACCATTCCTAAATTGATTCTAAACCATATAGATTAAGATTTCCCCTCAAGATGGAAATGCAGAATCAACCATATCTGATTTCTATCAGATGAAATAGACATTAACAATCCCGTAAGAGTTAATAATGGTTTTGGGGCAGATCAACATAGGAAGAAGAACTATTATGCTAACCTTGATTTGCTGCAGTGGTTACTTAGAGTTTGACACATAACCTTGCGTACGTCTCCTACTTTTAAGGATCCATTCTTTATTACCTCAGCAAGCTGCAATCTCTCATAAAAATTAACGTAAATTGAACTGACTCTAACCGTCACTTAAGAGAAAGGCTACCATAAAGTTTACCTCATCTTCAGTTTCCTCCAGCAATCTGAGTTAAGAAATCGGATACATATTTTAGATGAGTTTGATGAAATTTTAAGCTGAAACAAGGTACTGTAACCCAAACCTAAGGAAGTTTTTGATTGTCTTACCTTCCACAATAAGTTGAAATGTCATTTGCATGTGCTTTAGCTTCTTGTTTATCTATGACAGCACACAAACACGGAGCATTAGTCGCAAACAAGTCTCTAAACCACTAATATAACTAGAGGTAAAGATTTCAATGCTGCAATACTTATTCCAAAATTTCTGTCATCATGAGAGATCTCTTACAGTTACTCAGTTTCTAAACAGAAGTTTTGAACATATAAGGCGAGCAGCAGATGCGGTGAAAATGTGTTCTGGTAGGCAAGTGGAAACGCTAGTGGAAAGTTTACTTAATCAATTACATTTAAGCATTAAAGCAGCTAGACTTCAATATGTGATGAACAAATGCAAATATGCCACAGATAGCTAATTTGAAAGGAAAGAACACGTTACTTGTTAGATTGTCAAAATTTGCCACTTTGACCCATTGTCTACTCTTAGATTCCACCTGTAGAAGTGTGGCAATAAGAATCTATCAATTACAATTATAAAGGAGTAGTGAATATTATGCAAATATAATACCTGAAAATTTACGAAGATGTTGCTATTGGAACATCAGCGTAATACAAGAACATGGCTTACCTTTTGTAGAGTATAGTCCTGCATTCTATCACACAGCCCGTCCAACAAATCAACCACCCTCAGGTCGCTTATTCTATTTGAATGAAAGAAAGAAACAAATAACACGAACATCATTTTACTCTGTGAAATGTCTACAACAGCAGCATAGCTGTACCAGGGAATATTTAACAGATGTTTAAGATATCACAGTGTGTCGATTGTTATTTGACATCAATTGAATACCATTCTTAGCAGTGGCCCTAAGTGTTATATTCTACGCCTTCCATCATTTCTCCTAACTATGGATACGTATTATCTGTAGTATAGATCACAGTTTCAAATCTTGTAATCATGAAAATGCATATAAAATGCGCCTAGGAAGTTCTACTGTCTATTTTATCATACCGATGCGCACATGGAAACAAAGAACACACAATCAAAGAGCACTGATTTCATTCCGGGATAAGACACAATGAGGCGTCGATGTTGTACCTGTAATCAATCACCTTTCCTTCTCGCTGGCCTTTAGAATTCAGTCGGTTTCTCATATCAACATGGTTCCGTGGTTTTTCCTGTTACTAAAAAGTTCTAGTAAGCCTCGCAGCAGAGAGAAAAGAGAAAGGTTGAAGCATTGAAATAGAAGCGGCAATCTTTGTACGCTCTTCTTAATGATTATCTTACCAAAAAGTGTAGATACTAGAGATGTTCTTACCTTCAAAAACTGTGACTCCAATTCGTCCTGCACAGCATCGACCACCCTTGTTAGAATTATGGAAGATTTAAATCATTCTCAAACTTCAGTAACGTAGTCTTCTTCTGCAAAAGTAATACCACTTCCAAGTAGCAAAAAGAACAAAAGTTTCATCATATGAAATTGCAATAGGACAAAGAACATCTTAATTGCAATAAAGCCAATTTCCAATTGCAAGAGAGATTCATAAACAACACCATCGGCTCGAATATACTTTAAGAGAAGGTTTTAAACTATCCCAAACTTTTAAGTAAACATGTCTACTTTTTTCATATAACCAAACCATTGAATTGGGGGAGAAAAATGCCACTTTGAAGAACAAAATCCATCATCTGGGTTATACCCTTCTAAATCAAAAATCCACGCAACATGACAAAGAAAAAACAACATCTTCACATTTTGAAACAGACAAATTCTCAATTGCAACTCTTAACTCTCTCATACTCGGGCACCAAACAAAGAATCTCAAAATAAAAAGACTCAAACTTTAACTTTCTTATCTTATTTTGAGAAAAGTACAGGAATCTAGAGATTCCAACATACCGCGACGGCGTTACAAGCAGCGCATTTGTCATCAACGGAGCCCCCGTGGGAGAGAATCGCGATAATTACGGCAGTGAATAGAATCAGCTTCGCCATCCTCCTATTTCTTCTGATCTGCTTTTTCCTTTGGGCAAAGCTAGGTAGCACAAATTCGGTGTAGCTCTGATTCCCGCTCTGGAATCGAAAGCGTAAACGGAATCGCTTGGAATCTTTCGGAATCGCAAGAAAATTCGGAGTTGGAAGCGAGTTTTAGATAGATCGGAAGCGTTGCCGACGATTTGTAAAACCAGATCGATCGGAATAGGTGATCAGTTGGAAGAAATTGAAGTCTCTCTTTCACGTGCTTTTCAAATTTGGGCTTTTAAAATTTATCTGGGCCAATGTTCTATTAATATCTTAATATCTAACCCAATTTAATTATTTATTTAAAGGTTATGTATAAGTATTTTATTTTTTTTGGTAATCATATTTATTACTAATAAAAATTGATGCTAAATGCCTATAAAGATGTTCACGTAGAATTTAAAGATTCAATTCTATTGATATACATCATCATTATTTTTAGTAAATTATATATTGTATATTAAAATTAATTAATTCGTTTTAATTATTATAAGGAAAAATTTCTAAATTTTAATTAATTTTGTTTTTGTTGTTATTAGGAAAGTTTCTGAATTTTAAGTTAGTTATTAATAAAAAAGAGTTTTAAAAATAGATCTTATTTTTTTATTAACTATAAAAAGGTAAATTAACATATAAATAGATTATGAAAGAAAAATCATATATATTAAACAAAATTATTAAAAATTATATTTAAAACCATAATTATATTATTTTAAAATTTTAATCATGACAAACAATTAAAATTTGAAATGCTAACTTAAAATATATTAGTTGTTGTCCGTGTTGATGTCTTAGGTCAATGAGAGCGTCCACATATGACATATATACTCAATCTGATTAGTTTATATCAGCGCTTTTCATTAAACATAAAACATAAAAAATATAATTAATAATTTAAATAAATTAAAACATACAAAAATATAAAATTATCACAATATAATGGAAAATTAGCATAATTGTTTTTAACTAAATAAAATAAATTTATGTCAAAAGTCTAAATCTATTGTGAAAATAAAATGGAAACTCATTGTCACAAAAACTAAACTAACAAAAATAAATATGTAAATCAATAACGAAAAAGTTAAATTAAAAAAAAATTAGCATATATATTTTAAATGAGTGATTTATTTAGAAAAATATTAAGATTAAATTTTCATATAAAAATATAAAATTGTTATTTAAAAATATCAATACTACCAAAAAAACATTCATCTTAAATTATCAAAAAAGAAAGTCATCTAAAACTTATAATTTTTGGATAAATATTTTAAAAATGATACTTTATGCTAATTACTGAAGAAATCAATATAAAAAATGTTTAACTAGCAAAAACCAAAACATAAATTATTTCTTATAACATGTCAATACAATTAAAATGAAAGTCCATATCGAGAAAGTTAAATTAAAAAAAAGAGGATATTAACTTAATATCTATGTTATTTATTTAACAAAATCAATATAAACAGAGTAAGTAAGAGAATAAAAAAAAACCTAAATAATACTAAAAAACTTAACTAACAAAAATATATAAATATTTAAGCTAATTATTTTTAAAAATAAATATTAAGAAATTAATTAACTAAAAACTAAAACAAAAATTAAGTTTTACAAAATATTATTTTTTTAAAAACACTTAAAAATATATTGACTTGATATCTGACTAACTACTTAAAAAATTCATATAAAAATATTTAACTAACAAAAAATTTATGTCTTCAAAATATCAATATTTAAAAACAATGGTGTGTTAAAATAAAATAAAAATTAATATCAACAGAGGTAAATTATCAAAAGAACAAGTCGTATAAAGTAAAATTAGCATGATATTTAGGCTAACTACCAAACAAATATTAACTAAAAAAAAGCAAATGATGGTATAAGCTTTTGAGAGAAGTTCACTTAAAATTTAGAATAACCAGTTATAGCATGTCAAAATAGTATTTTAATTAATTTAAAAAGTAAATTTAACAAAGAAAACGCATTTATATAAAAGATATTAGATTATTATATACTCTACCTATTTGAAAAATCAATAACAAAATATATTAAAATATATATGTTTTAAGTATATCAAACCTGCAGAAAACTAGATAATTAAAATAAAATACTCCCTCTGTTTCAGAAAGAGTGTCATTTTGACATTTTTCACACATATTAATAAACTTAATAAAAAGTCTTTTCTGTTCTTCATAAATACACTAAACAGTTTTCTCTTTCTAATTAATACACTAAAATAAAAAGGTTAGAATTAGATTTTTAATTAAAAATTTGTATTGGAAATACAAAACGACAATTTTGTGAAACAAAAATAAAACTCTAAAACAACATTCTTTATGAAACGGAGGGAGTATAAAATTACCATTGAAGATATTTAAAATAAAAAAAAACAAGATCTAAGAAGAAAATTAGTTTGAAATATAGTTTCAAAAACATTCATGATTTGTAAAATATTGGTGTTGACTATGAATAACCATATAAAGTTTTAATAGGTTATACAAGTTTCTAAATCAAACATATTATTTAAATTTACAAAGATTAATACCTTGGTTGCATTTGGTTGAAAAATTAACAAAGTAAAATACTACACAAGTAACTTTACATTCAAAATATAATAAGTAATAAAGTCTGATTTGTATACATATTTACTGGTTATAACTTAGTCAACATGAACAACACAGGAGCAACATCCTCTAAAATTTTATCTAAATAATATAATATGACAAAGTTATGAATCAAATTCAAATGGGAATATATGAAGATAAAATATTCAAATCAAAACATGAATAAACACACAAAAGATAAAAAAAAAAAAAAAAAAAACAGTGATAATGTGAAGTCTCAACATCATCTTACATGTTTAAAAACAAATATTAGCAAATAGTTGACTGCAAATAAAACAGATCTTATAAACTGAATAGAGATATAACCTAAAATTCGTAGAATATCTGGTGGAAAAGCAAAAAGCAGCTTTACTTACACGATTAGTGTAGCTTACTAACAAAAGTAAATCTGAATCAACATATATCATATATTATATATGTATATGTACACAACATTAGTGATACATTTAGTAAAGAAACTAAATATTTAAACATATAAACCTTTTAAAAAAAAGAACCATAGAAATCCTAAGGATACAAAACAATAAACCAAAAATTTAGTAAGGAAATCATTTTCTAAATCAAACATATGCACATCGAAGTTGGATAATTCGTTAGGTGTCATTACTATGATTTTACTTAATAAGATTTATAATTTTATAAACAAAAATAGGAAATACTACATATTATGTTTTATTTTTTTATATAAAAGAAAATTTCTATAAATATATTATAGTTTTGATAATTTAAAAGATATTAGCCAAAAAATTAAACCAAATTATTAATACAGACTCGCGCGTAGCGCTAGTTAAAGCCTAGTAATATATAAAGTTGATGGCATAGTGCATTGAGGGCTTCCACATGGGATTAAAAAACTCGATATGATTGGTCCATATCAGCATATTCATTAAATAAAAAAAAAATTTAAGTATGATTAGGACGGAAAAACTTGATTTAATTGGTCCACATAAGCTTTTAAATCAAACCAAAAATTATTAAGTATAATTAAAATATTCAAAGTTAATTTAACAAATTATGTCCAACAAAAAACATAAATTCAATCTGATTGATCTAAATCAGCATATTTATTAAATCAAAAAATGTTAATATGGTTTAAAAATTTAAAAGTTAAATAAAAAAATTAACAATTAACAATACATGTATAAAAAAAGTAACCATTATCAAATATCAATTTAATAAAATCTACAACAACTGGATTTAACAATTAAAACAATGAAAACTGAATAAAAATATAACTTAAAACTCTTGGAAGACATGATGGAGAAGAAAAAAATGGTTTTGCATGATCATTACAGCTTCCTAACAAAATTAAATGTGAATCAACATGAATCATGGATTATATATACAGTGGTACACAACATCAATAAGACTTTCAATAAAAAAACTAAATATTTGAACACATATACCTTCAAGAAAAAAAGAACTATAGAAATTCTATGGAAAACAGAAAATAATACCAAAATCTTAGCAAGATTATATTTCTCTAAATCAAATGTATATGTACGTCAAAGTTGGATAATTCGATAGGTGTCATTGTTATTATTTTACCTAATAGTTTTTTAAAGTTTATAAATAAAAATATGAGAAATTACACATTATATATTAAATTCTCTTATGTAAATGAAAATTTCTATAAATTTCTATAATTTTTAATAATTTTAAAGATAGTAGCTAAAAAAAATAAACCAAAATATTAATACAGATTCGCGCGTAGTGCGAGTTATATACATAGTTATATAATAAAGTTGGATACGTCAAAATTAATAATTCACATGATTGCTACATGTAGCAAGTCAATCGATCAGATTTTGACATGTGTCGCGACTAAATTAAAAATAAAATAAAAATAAATAAAGATATATATTGTAGTTTAAAAAAAGGAAAATAGCTTAAAACACTAATCCTAAAAGAAAAATGAAAAAACAATTTGGAAAAAAAATCAATAAAAGGAAACATTTCAATTTAGAGAAGAAAAAATGCTAAGACACTAATGTTAAAAAAAAAATATACAATCCACATCTATATAAACACATAAAATCTCTCGAATTATAATTTATGAGCTTCATTCTATAGGTGTAATTTCCCTTCTTTTATTGTATTATTATTATTAAAACACTTTATACGGTATTCCAAATTTTTATCAATTATGGTTCGTTCGGTATTTCAAATTTTGTCCCTCGAGATTCCTTCACTGAATATTCTATATATCTAAAGTGTTTCTAGTATTCAATAATTAGACAATTTCTAAATATTTACATGCAAAATTTGCAAAGCATGATTACATGAAAATAAAATCATAGATGCTAATGATGAGTTCAGTGAAAAAGAGGATCAGCAAAAATCATGTTAAAAAACTTTTGACACGAGTCTTGAGAAGCATAATTTTTCTAGAATGTAAAAAAAAAATCATATGCAAGAGATGCATGTGGAGAGAAAGAAAAACTTTGTTTGCTTAGAAAGAGTTAATGGGGAGAGAGTTAGCATAATCGAAGAACTCGAATTACAAACACAAGTTTTTAATGCAACGAAACAGAATAAAATAGTTGATAAAATGTTGAACTACAAGTGAAGTAGTGTTAATATTTATGAATATATACAACAAACTCTGAGTTATGAATATTTTA